CAAGCTTGGCGTCCTCCACCACCTCCTTACAATCGACCACCATTTCCTCCACCACCTCCACCTCCAGTCAGACCTCCACCACCAATGTTCTAGGAAAGAGTGCTATTAATTCTATATTTTTATTTGTTTTTGAAACATTGTAAAAACTATATTCTTTAGATATACAATTTTATTATTAACTGTAATATAATTTTAATTAAAGGAGGTAGCCAAAATAGTACCAATGTTTTTTATTTGGGCTTGAGGAGTGGTTGCAAACGACAAATCAACCGTACATTATCTGGTTCTTTTAGAATTTTAAAAATAACTTATATTACTGTTAAGAAGAATGGGAAATCTTTTTTACTTTCCAATCTTAATTGCTATGAAAAGGTTTAATATAATGAAACTGATAATACTTCAGCTTACAGATTTTTATTAAATAAATCAGTTTTGTGGACTAGTCAGTCAGTGGTTCAAAGCTACATATTGTTTTATTTCAGTTCTGTGCTACATGTTTTATTTCAGAAATCTGTGATATCTTTGTATCTATTTCCAAAAAGTCATATAGAAATGAATCTACAGTTAATTCTTTTCAAACAAAAGATGTTTCATTTATTATTAGTTTTTGTATAAAATTATGAAATGTTAGGTTATTAAATAAATAACTCATTATTGTTTGATATCTCTAATTAAAAAAATTCTTTTCATTTGTAACGTTGTACTTTTGATTTCTCTATATAAAATATAAGGAATGTACTTTACTTGAAGTGAGGTACTTTAAATGAGGTAGTTATTTTATTCCTATTGTGATTGCTAATACCCATTTATTTCACGTTTGATACAAGAGGAAAGAGTGTTGTTTTCTATTATGAATTTGGGTAGTAAAATTGATCAAAAATCTTGACATATTGGAATTTTCTAATCCAATTAGATCAACTAGCCTATGTATGAAGGTTCATTTTTTAAAATGACTTGTATTTAATACTAAGCTCTTTTATTTTATATCATAAAATACATGCTGTACCAGAAAATTTCATTTTAATGTTAAATGAATTTGTCAGTTTTTGTAAATTATTAATATCCAGATTGAGATGGCCTTTTTACTTGACAATAAATGTAAACAAACAAGAAGAGGCATGTGGTATTCACTCAAAGTGATTGTGATGAATGCCAAGTTGAATAACAAAACATTTATATATTCAAGTACTTGCTGCCAACCCTGGGAAGGCAGTTTTTATCAAATTCCATAGTACCTTGTGTAATCTGACAGCATTATTTCAAAGAACTTTTGGCCTAGCGGCAATAAGACTTGTTTTGAAACTGGTAAATAAGTAGATAATATTCCAATTATACTATGATTTATATAATAAAATATATGTACTCGGCTAATGCAGGTAATTTTATTATCTATATCAACCATGTTCAGTCTAAAATACCCTTTCATCTTAGAAAGAACTTAAAAATGTTATTTTAAAGAACAAAAAAATTTAAAAGGTATTGTACTGCCACGAGCCAAGTCCAAAACTTAAGCTTGCCACGTAGAGATATGGGGCCCATATCTAACAAAGGGAATTTGGTTTAAACATTCAATTTTATACTGTTATAATTGAAATTCATCCTTTAAAGCGCATATTTAACAAAAAAAAAAAAAAAAAAAAAATGCAATTTCATGAAACAAAAAATGTGCAATCTAGTCTGAAAAGGCCATTACATGCAATATCAAATTACAATGTTATTCTACAAATTAGCGGTCTGGTGGGCTCTTGTACACAAATTTGAAGACAGAACGGGTTTTGCGGGAGTGGACAGAGGATATGAATGAATGAATGAAGGAGCTCGGAGATTTATGAAGGACGGTGGGATTGGATGTTACTTCATTACTTGGAATCACTTATGACGGTAGAAAGGTTAAAGCCATTTCAGCTCTTCATAATAATGGGAAACAGAGGCTTCCCTTGGGATCCCAAAGATGAACCATACAAGACAATTTATCAAACGTTTTAATTTCGCCTCTAGATCCCCTGAGACGCCCTCATATACCGTACAGCAATAATCGAGGTGAGGAATTATTAAGAACTAAATATAATACCATGCCTTGGAAAGAAACAAAAATTGTTGACAAACATCTAATATGTCACATTGTAAAAAAAAATCACTTCCAGAGGTGGAATGGAATGAGACGCAGGGTATCTACCGAAAAATTATTCTGAAATTTCCTGATTTCCAGGTCACGAAACACTCCAAATAGTCAAACTTGTTTGACAGAAATATGTATAAATAATTTAGTTATTCTTCTTGGCAATAAAATATAATGAACAACACTATAACCAATGAAGTACAAATTACTTCTTTTAGGCTAACTAGCTTTGTAAATTGTAAACTTACAATTTTTTTTCGATAGATATAATTTATTCTCTTTTATTCTGAAGCAAGTTCCAAAGAATAAAGGTTAGGTAGGACCTTGACTAAATTTTTAAAATGGTATTCTTTAATAATCATTTTCCACCTGAATCTTTAAAGTATTTAACATTTTAAACACTATAATCCAGTAATGGAGACCTTATAAAAAAGCGATAACTTTGTTTATATCTAATAAAAATTATTCAGCCTCTCTTAAGTACAGTAATTAAAAAAATCAAAGCAGCCTTAGGGAATTGAAACATCAGTAATATTGAGTTTTTCTTGAAATATAAACAAAGAATTGTTTTTAGAGGCACAGAAATGGTATCAATAAATAGTTTTCAGAATATAATTAGAAAAGAAAATCACTAAAAAAATAAAATAACTGTTAATGATGAAAATTGATGGACATATGAATGTCAACTTTTTTGGCTAACAGTAATTATGGACCGTAAATACAGATTTGTGTTATAAAATTCTTTGACTTTTCTTGTAATCCCAAGTTGGGAAGATCATGAAGTCGCCTGTTTAATGTTTCGTGAAAGGCCTAACTCTGTTTCTAATAACCAACATTTAAGCTGCTGTAATCATACAATGTTTAGGCAAATTTATTTAATATATAATAAAATTAAACAGCAGTGAAAGCCTTAGTTAAGCCTCACAGTTAAAGGGTTAAGTTTGGAACATTGTGTTATATACAAGCTAAGAGGGTGAAATGGGGGAAAAAAACTAAACTATCCAACATTTATTCTTCTTGTTTTGGAACTGCCAAGAATTCATATAGAAATTTATTGTTGATTGATGGTCGACTAGTGAATAAAATTGATGAGATTGGTTGGGGTGATCGTCAAAAATAAATAAATATATTTATTTTTATTTTTGCCGACGTTTGGGCCTTCATCAGAGCTAAGAAAAAACCATACAACAATAGGTATGATAAACTATTAACATTAAAAAATAAAGTGTAGATGAAAGGTATAGTCTAAAAATTTTAGGTAGAATAAACTTAAAATAAATATAAAATAACGATAACAAAGTTAGGGGTAGAAAATAGCGGAAGCAAAGTTAGGATACATAACATAATGGTAACAAAGTTAAGAAATTATGAAGAAATAATAACAGTCACAGAGAACTATGAAATGAAATAAACATAATCAATTATGTTTATTTCATTAGTCTCTACTTTGATGCCACTATTATATTTTTCATGGTTACTGTTATGTCCTATCTTTACTTCTGTTACTTTTTACCCCTAACTTTGTTATCGTTATTTTATATTTTCTTTAAGTTTATTCTACCTACATTTTTTAGAATATACCTTTCACTTACATATTTTTTCTTTTTAATGTTAATAGTTTCTCATACCTATTATTTGTTTTTTTCTTAGCCCTGAACTTTGGGCTGAAACATCGGCAAAAATAAATATAAATATACTTATTTATTTTTACTCCAGCACCCCAACCAATCTTCTTTTCAGAAATTTGTTGAGTTTGTTCTAATTTTATCTTCAAAAATATATGGTTATTATTCATAACTATTTCGACAAGAAACCTCTGTATGGTATTCCACTCAATAAAATTAATTTTTTTTTACAAAAAACGATGGCATGACAAACCTTATGAAGTGCAGGAATTCAGCTCCAGTTCGACGTGTATTAGTTGGCAGCCAACGTGCGAAGAACTCGTGTGGCGCTAAGTTAAAACTAACTTTTAGTATTTTTCCTAGTAAATCTTTTTATAAAAATCCAAGAAAGGTTTTAATGATCATCTATAAATGCCGGATAAAGTGAGTTTACAAGCACCAATACTATTGTAAAAATCAGACTATAGACAAGGCTCACCAAGCACTGTTTGATAAGGAAGCATTTACAGCAGCATAGAAAAAATTCTTTCGTGACAAATCAAGATTGACTGGTCTTTTAACTTTTTAAAATAATTATGACCATTCTGTATCAACAGAATGTTTCATAATTATTTAAACCAGGGGTATTTAAACGTTTTAGCCTGCAGACCACATTGAGATCTCCATCTAAGTCCTGCGTGCCACGGCTTGTGATGAAAAAGATAACCTACTTAATGTCACATGGATGCATGTTTACGATTCTTTTATTTTAAGTTAGAGATAAATAAATATAACATAATAGCTTTTTTTTATTATGAAAATATATTTCTAGAGGAGTACATAAAATAAAATTCATCTGAATTACAAATTAACGAACTTTAGATATCACGAAGATATTTTATTTAACAAAAAATAATTAATGAATTTCTCTATTTTATAAGAAAATCAATTCAAAAATAAAAATTAGTGTTTTTCAGCTGTCCTGATAAGTTAGGATATTTGTAGTGACATTTGTGTGTCTCTAAGCGTTATAATAGGTGCCTCTCACTTTACAGCAACAATTATGCAAGCTAATAGGAATATAGTTTCCTCCCTCTGGGAAATAAGCTGATACATTAACTAAATATTTAGATTTAGGTGATATGTATTTAATTTAAAATTTAATTAAAATAAAGCAGAAAAAACTTCCAAAAAAAGGTTTCTCAATCGAAAACATTTTGTGAGAAAAGTATAAAAACCTAAGTGTGGAAAAAGTTTCACAAAAGAAAATTACCAATAAAAAAATATCACAATTTATTGAAAATAAATATAGTTAGTTATCTTCTAGACTGTTTTCTTTACTTTTATGACGCTTCTTTTTCTTCTTTTTTAAAGACTTTTCTTCGATTTCATTGTTAATATTTTCTTCAAGTGGCTTAATGTCTATTTCTTCTTGAATAATATCAAATGAATTGCCATCTATCTCTTCATTTTCAATTGATTTCCTTTTTCTCTTCTTTTTCTTTTTTGAAGGAACAATGTTTTCTTCTAACAATTCATTCTTCGAAGCATCTTGTTCGTCACTAATAATTTCTTCTACGATATCAGTTTTTGATGCATCTAGGTCATCACCATCAAATGATTTTCTTTTTGACCTTTTTTTGGTTTTCTTTATACTTTTACATTGGTCATCAACATTTTCTGTCTCATTCATGTAGTTAATTACATCTGAAACTTCACTATCAACAACAGAATCTGATGGTATTGTTAAACTTTTTTCCACATTATCCATTTCCTTTAACTTTTTACTTTTAGTACGGAAATAGTCATACATTGAGATAGGTGACTCTGTGATCAGGTCAGAATTACTGTTCTCAGCAGAATTACTGTTCTCATTATTGGACTTTTTCCCAATTCCAATAATGCAGTTTAAATCCTTTGATGAATATTTGCTGACGTCCTTTCCACGTGTAAACTTATGGTAGCTAAAACAAAAATAAGAAAAAAAATTGCTTAAGACATTGTAGGAATCTTAATCTACAAAAATTCAGTATCTGGTACTTAATGACTTATTTTACTGGATTAATTGATGGCTAATAAAACTAATTAAGTGAGGTAAATCTAGCTCAAATTCTATGTACTTGACATGTTATAAAAGTAAGTAAGGGTTTTGTTTAACTATGATAGTATGCAAAAAGTTTTTTTCATTTTTATTCGTTGCTATGTATATCTTAAGTATTTCAATTATTTGTCGGAGATAGAATACATATTTATAATCGCAAAAAAATAACAATTTGACAAAAAATAAATAATCAAATTGCTTCTTTAGTATCTTCTTAATATATCAGAAACTTCAAATTTGTTTATCTCAAATTAATTAGAATGCTACTTAATGACATTTTGCCATAAACCATAGATATTATTTACAGTTAACTAAAATAGATATGGTTTTATATATCTTATTTTGATATATAAAACCATGAATAGAAAATATTTTAACTCTACAGCAAGACATCCTTTTATACTTACAAAAAAAAAAAAAAAAATCATCCTTAGAATATGTGAACAATTTTATGCCTTGATTACTTCAGCAATGAACCTGTTTTGCAGCAATATTTCCATAATCAAAAATAATTTTAATCACCTAAAAATATTTGTGAGGAGTTGATCGGGAGGTGCGTTCAAATAAATACTAAATTAAACAAATAGTATTATTTAATTTTTGCTGATGTTTTGTAGCCTTTTATTAATCTAGCGCTAGAATGAATTAAGATTTAATTATTTAAGTAATGATAATTTGGAAATTAATAGGATTAAGTTGAATGTATGGTGCGCATGTATAATGTTGAATGTGGGTGTGCATATCAAGTGATAAATAAAAATTGCAACGGTAAAATATACAGAATTATTGCGGCCTCCATTAGCACTGCCTAATCTTACTGCGGCCTCTAATGACAAAAAGATTGTGAACCTATGGTTTATACAATCAACATTTTCCTAATAACTCTTCAATTGGAAAAAAAAAAAAAGTTGGTTCTAAGCAATCTTCCTTACTCACTGCAGTCAGAAGTGGATTTATTTTAAGATTTTTTGATGACACAGATAAAATTATCATAATTTTTCATTAAAATAAAAATAAAATTTTTCTTTAAAGTAATTAAAATGAACCATTTTTGACAGCATGGATAACTATTATAATTTTTTTCCAATAAAATATATTATTGCAAATACTCACTGAACACGTGCTTTAGACATTCTAGATTTATCCTCTAAAGAGGGAATATTAGTAGTATCTTCAACTTGATCATTTTTATCAACACCATTCAACTGTGCAAGAAGACTATCAAAGTTTTCTTGTTGACGAGTCCATACTTCATCATATTTCTCTTTGTTTCCTAATCCTGAAACAAAAATTTTCTTGTTTTATACAGTTTTAAGCTTGTTATCCTGTTAAAATAATAAAAGCTTACTATACTATAATAAATAATATTACCACCAGAACTGTTTAAAAGATCCTCATCTTTATAAACGACAACAGAGACTTGGAATACAGACCTGATCTTCCCTGTCCTAAAGAAAGGATCCATGTATGAGTGTATTAATTACAGAGGCATGACACTCTTTCCGGTTGCCTACAAGGTGATGACCAATATCCTACTAAACCAAATATATCCATATTACAACAATATAATAGACAACCACTAAGCTCAATTCAGGAGGAGGAAGGAGCGAAATCTTTATCCTACAGGTTTATCAGTAAGTTGCTCTTATAAAATAACTTTACATTTTATAAATAGAATACTTTGGAGGCCCATCTTAATAAACTATTATATAACATTGCATAGCTAAATGTTGTCAGAATCTATTAAAATATTGCTTCCTACATTTTGGCTCTTCAAAAGGTAAAAGAGGGACATTTAAGAGGAAAGTCATTAATGAGTCTGAGATAGCTAGCTACCTATTACTACTTTAAAATCAGTAAATGATGGGGCAGAGTACGATCTTAACCTATCAGAGAGAAATTTTTCCTAATATGTAAGAGATTCAATATTTAGTCTCATTCCCAATCATCATAACATTCAGAATTATAATAAAAAAGCTACAAAATATTCTATGAGCTTCTGAAACTATTACAGATTATTATTTTTCGAATTGAGGTTTGATGTTAAAGGCATAGGTGAATTTAAATAAAAATGCATTGTTTTCCTATATAATGTATAATATTCTTCCAATGCTTTGATCAATAGACCTTCATCAGGGTGATTTTTGATGGCCCTTCTCTCCTGTTTGTCACAATTATATCCTGATTGACAAGCAAGAAAGGGGGAAGATCTCTGCCTAGCCACAACTGATCAAACTACTCTGGAAAATTACACAGCAACTAACAAAAAAAAGCAAACAAAATTATAAGATCGGCAAAAAAAAGGAAATTCCCTAAAGAAAGATTGCAAAACAAAGTGGACAACTGAAAGGCTGGAGATATACGAGAATTCTAAGCAGAGATTAGGAAAGAAAGTGTAGAATATAAAGCGCAGAATATGCGAATACAAGGAAAATATGGCATTCTGAAAAGATCTTGAGCATCTGGGAAGAACATTTCCAGCAGATTCTCAATCAGGGGATCTCACAAATGATGGTGACATGGACTGAACTGAGTATCAGACTCAGAAGAGATTGTAAAACTAGATATACTGGAAGTGAAAATAGTTATAGGAAGGCTTAATAAAACAAGAAACGTCTCAGTAACAGACAACCTACCATCAGAACTGTTTAAAGGATGGGGGAGGAAAGGACACCAGAGGCTTGGAATACTGACCTAATCTCCCCTGTCCTAAAGAAAGGATCCATGTATGAGTGTATTAATTACAGAGGCATGGCACTCTTTCCGGTTGCCTACATGGTGATGACCAATATCCTACTAAACCAAATATATCCATATTACAACAATATAATAGACAACCGGTCAACAAATATTAAGATCTTGTTACGTATGAAAGCGTGTTCTAATCCTTCGGGCGAGCTCATATTCCTTTGGTCCCTCGATTACGATTATTCTCCATTACGATCTCTTATTTCTCCTTTAGTTAATTATCAAATTCTTTCATACTTTATATTTAACTATCTTTTGGATTAGAGATTAATGTAAAATAGTCAATTGTTTCAAATAAAAAAAATTGAAAGTACTTTACGGGAAGCTAATATTGAAAATTAGCCATTTAAGCTCTGTTAGAAAACATCAATCAGAATAAAACCTACATTTTATTTAGAACTGCATAATTTTACACAGAATTTAATCGAAACCATTAGAGCCGTTTTCGAGAAAATCATAAAAATGTGTAACATGATTATATGAAGTGCCACTTCCTGTTAGCCGATTTCGACAGAAAAGTTGCTGTAACATCCCAAGCATATAAAAACCTTTCACTTTCGTACGACTTTTTGTTTTTGAGCTAGACTGTTAACACACAGACCATTTTGTGGGACTTGGTTATTTCTATTGAAAACTCAGATTTGAAAATTTTCACGATCGCAGTACTTTCCCTTACTATATATTTCATGCATAGATAAGTGAAAGTAAAAATCTCAAATGAAGGGTATAAAATGTTATGATGAAGCCAGTTCTCATAGACAGCCATGAGATCTGGACCCTAGAAAGAAGTATTGAAACATTTGAGAGAGAAATTATCTGCACGATAATCGGAGTGATCTGGGATGACAATACTAATACATGGAGGAAAAAGAACAATAAAGAGCTGCTTACAGAAACTGGCCAATCAATATCAGATGATATGAAGACAGGGATGTTAAGGTGGGTGAAGTATGTACCGAGAAGCAATCCATCTGGAAGCTTTTAAAGAATAATGAATGCTCCAATAGAAAGCAAACGCCAAAAACCAGATGGATAGATAAACCAATAGAGCTGCATACAGATAACTGAAAAGAAATAGTCCAACATAGCCAGTGAAGGAGAAGGCGGCTGAAGGAGGCAAAAGATCTACAACGTATGTAATGCAATGTCAACTGGTAAAAAAAAATAAAAATAAAAAAGAATCTGATTGCTGTTTGCTTTACTTAAATTTGAAAATACCCTTAATTTTCATGTATTCCAGATTAGGTAAACAATCTTTATAAAAGAACTGATAGAAAGAAAATTTAGTTATTTGACAACAAATAGGAAATATAATTTAAAAAGACAGTATTTGGATACCTTTAGTATCATTTTTCATTTGAAGGCGAACAAAATCTGTTCTTCCTTGTCCTTTTGCTCCCAGTCCCATTCCAGGCTGCCACCCCATTTTTTCCAGCATTCTTTGGCCAAATTTATTTTCATCTGTGAAGAATAAAATAATAATAAAGAAAAAGAAAAGAAAATAATAATAAAATATTCTAATCAGAAATCTAACACCAAATTTTAAAAACTAATAACACTTCTTCTTCTTGACATAACTTCTGCCATTCTCTGGTGAGGAGCTCGGTATATGTGTCCCTTTCCTGTTGCAGTTTTCTTCTCTGTCTCAAGTCTACATTCTTAATATTGCAGACCTTCTTGACTCTTTCTTATTAAGCCTTCTCCTAAGTCTCCCTCCTTCCATTTCTTACTTATATGAGACTCTTGACATGTCTCCCATTCTGGGGACGTGCCCTGAACAGTTGAGCTGTTTTTTTAAAAACAGTGCATCTCCCTGGTTTGCAGTTGACATTTATGGCCGGTTCACTGGCATGTCGATTGGATGGGACATGTTTTCATATAATATAATATTTTTTACTTGGAAACTTCTCTTTTTCTTAAGAAACCTATATATAATCTAGAAATTCAATTATAATAACAGCATAATGTTTATGTTAAGTTAAGTCAGGCCAGCTTAAGTCACCATCATGTTCATTGCTTTTTGGATTCATTCTTAGTATGATCTAACTCACCTGAATGTTTGAAATAAATATATAAGTAAACATAATGCTTATCTAATTTATTAATTATTTCCTGCTCTTAATCAGATTTACAAGAACAATCTATAATTATGACACTATAAATTAAATAATAGTGATTAAATTGTAGGACTGCTGCATTTCTGCATACCGTATATCTTATAATTACAAATAAATATAATTATATTAAACAAAATTATTATATTTGTCGTTTCAACATGATGGATAGGGACAGAATCACATTTTAGATGAAATAGGCTGGTGTGTCCAATGGGTCAAGACGTTTTAAAGCTAATTAAAATCCAGAATGCAAATGAAAACAAAGCCTCGATGGTTTCTTTATCTCTTTTGAGCGAGTGAAAGTGGATGGAAGCAGTATGGGGGATTACACCTGTGAACTTGGTAGTAAATACTAGGCCATTTTTGGAATTCCATATGTAGTTTGATCATGTGCCCATCCATCATGTTGGAGCAACACTTGGGAAGTGGTGCCAATTTTAAATATTATGTAATTTAGAAATGTCTAACACTGTATGTGAACATGAGTGACACTAGCCAGGTAATTCCAGCAGTGTGATAGAAGCATAGCTACTCAAAGCGTGATATAGGTGTAGTTATGCAGGAATCACACCTTTTTTTTTGGTAAAGATCGAAAAACCGAGTTTCAACTCTCTATCTTGTTTACATCATTAGAACACAAGATCCATATAAGGTTGACAAGAGGGTCAAGATCACATCAATCACACTGTACATAAAATTCCAAAATTATTTGAACCATGTTCATGGCTGGCCTCAAGAGGTAAAAATAGACTCAAGATTGGCCACCTTCATAAATCTATAGGATTCTTCATGGTGTGATGACTAACAAAGCATGATTTTATGTATTAACATAAAAATTACAGAAACATTTACACTTTTCACTCAAAATAATTATTCTTTTATAATGTAACAAGCATACCTACGAAATATCCATAAAGGATATTCCTAGGTATGCTTCCAAGGAATTCCAAATTTAAAAAAAATTCTGAGTGATAATTGATCAAATGAAACTGTTTGATCTTAAAACTGTTTAAATCTATGGAATTCTCTTCTTGAAAAACATTTGCACTGTAATAAATAATTAGAACAAAGAAACTAAACATTACCTTTAGCCCAATCATTTCCTCTGGGGTTCAAGCACCATTTCACTTTTTGCTTCCTTTCAGCAAGCATAGCCATTATGAAGTAGATTTCATATAAACAACACTATGTTGAAAATAACACTCAAAGTTGAAACATAAGTACTTGTTATGTTAAGTGGATAAGTGAACATTACATTAAATTGGCATTTAAAAATACACCTATCACGTCAAAAAATTGCACATGCTGTCAAGCCCTTGCTTAATGAAGGCAGGTTATGGAGAAGGTTATTTTTCGAGAAGAATGAATACTAGCAATTGGAGGGGGAAATAATCACCAGTTTTTATTGATCTTGTGTTTTAGGTAAGCCTTTCAGGATTGTTTTAAATTATGCTAAATTTCAACATTTTTTGAACCAAATTTGAGCTTCCAAAGATCTTGACCGTGCTATGCTTCTATTTTTGTTATGCTTCAACTACTCCATTACAATCAATCAATGATAATGTAATCAATGATCAGGCCCGATAAATGCTAGTTATTAACTTGTATTTTAATTGTATATTGAATTGAATTACATGACTAGAATTTCTTAGAAAACGCAATATTTCTTTTTTATACATTAATAAAGTTTATAAATGTTATTATACACAAATACATGGAGGAAACACATAAGCACAGAAAACAATGATTTATTAGAATGGAAATAAAACTTCGTATCAATGGGAATGTTTTCAATGTGTGAGTTGGTAGGACTGGCACTACAAAGACAAGATTATAGAATTCAAATTCATAAAGTGGGGGGGAGAGAAGCCGGCGATGGAAGTTCATTGCAGAAAGACCAATGATAGGTGGATGTCCCTCGGTGACAATTACCTTATTGTAATGCTGTTCTCTTTTTCGGGTATCTGTCATTAAAATTAATATTATTTTATAAAATATAATTATGTTATATGTGAAATGAAACATTTGTTATTAATAAAAATATCGATAATTTTCATTAGTTGTGATTTTTCTAGATAACTCGAGAATTTATTTTTCCATAACAGGGACATAAAATCGTCCAAAATGGAAGTAGGTCAGTTGTTAGAGAAAAACAAGAAGCCAGAAGTGTAAGTTTGTTATTATTACATTTTTATAAGCATAGAAAATATTTTAATTAGTATCGGTTTGTTTTTTCAGGGTTTTAACTGAGCCGGTATCCAAGAAAACAAGTGACAAGGCGTCTTTTTGTGATGTGTGGCCACAGGTATGTTATTATCTACATATTTATGTTTAAATATATTATTCAGACGTACCCCCCTCCCAAGAAATAATTCGACTATCTCTCCATTTACTCAACGGCAATCGATTCAAAACTTCTTGGGGAGGAATAACCGATAAATCGATGAAAAGTTACCTGTAAAAATGCATGCTTTGGGTTTTTATTCATTGTCCAAGTATGTTAAGATTGCAAGTATGTTTTTAGATAAAGAAATGAACTTTAAGGAGCTAAAACTAATATTGTGATTTTGCTAACTATTAACTAGTAAACTTTTGTTAAGAAAAACATCAATAGATCAATTCAATTCATTCATATAAATACATTCTCTGTTTTAAAGCATATAATTGACAAAATGTTTTTAAGTTTCTAACCGAAAAAAAAATGTGCAATCATAGATAAAAACTGTCTTGTGGAATATCTGGAAAACGTTACCTAAGTCATCTTATCTGGGAAGCTCCACAAAAAATTTAATAGTGATGGATTATTTTTTCACGTGTTCTTTCCAGAAAGTTAAAAGTTAAGATAACTGTTCTCTTCGGGAGCGACAAGCCGCCTCTTACACTAAGGGAAGAACAGCACCTTAAAGTATTTGAAAATAAATGTTTGCGTAGAATATTTGGACTGACGAGTAGGATTGGTAGGCTATTGAATTGAAGGCTACACAATGTCCTATTGCAGGAGCTGCACATAGCAAGTATAATTTGGGTGATGGCAAAAATCGGAAGGTAAAATTATGAGACTAAATTAAGAGCAAACCCCTATAAAGCTATTTGGTCCCGACCAGGTAAACGTACGAGGAGCTGACTGAAGCGTAGACGGGAAGTTAAATTAGACTGCTGGGTTTCGTCAGTGAGCGATGGACGGTTTTAAATTGTGATTGGTGGTAGCTGGTGGTATGTTTAATATTTCTTTTTCACAAAATGAGAGATTTTTCGATTGCTGTGACTTCGCCAAATTGATCTTACTGTTATCTTCTTTTAAGGATTGTTGCGATGGGTTGAAAAGAAGATAGTTTGTCAAAATGTCCATATGACACTAAGAAATAATCAATTTAATTTTTTAATAACTATTGCAACTAATGGCTTACTAATATACAATGAACTTATAGAGAAACGTTTTATGTGTTGCAGGTTTTGGTTAGTTGCATTTCTTTAAGTTCGGTGATCCAGGCTGGAATCAATCTAGCGTTTTCGGGTATTTTGTTACCTCAACTGGCTGCTGATCCTAACATAGATCATTTCACCAAAGACGAAGCCTCATGGATAGGTAACCTTTGATATTTTATTTAATTTAAAAATGATATAGACCAACAATATTTATTGTTTGTCTATCCAAGACTTAATAGATTCACCATTATTTAAAATAAGGCAGAGTACTATATTAGATAACAACACATTTACATCATATCTTATATCGTAGTTGAGATTCCTTTTACAAACAAAGGTATTTGTTGTTTATCATTTGCTTTTCCAAAAATAAATCTATGACAATGTTCTTGTTCAAATTAGAATATTTTGAAAGTATGTCGAGAATGTTTAAAAATATTATATTATCCATTTTCTGTTGACATGTACGTTTATTAAGAAGACTTGTTTAATGGACAAAGAAACACAAAATGCCTGTGTTACTAGTTTTAATTTGTTATATCGAAATATTTTTTCTTCTTAGATTCCCTTCTACCTCTTTTTTCTTTTTTGGGGGGGGACCGACGGCTAACTGCTCAAACGAAAGTATAGTGGGCTGAACACTCGAAGAAAAAAATGAACCATCTCTATAATTTGTGTTTCATCTACTCCTTCGCCGATATTAAAAAAACAACAACTAAAAAAACTCAGCATTCTTTCCTCAACCCGCAGCCAATATTTTCATAGATAAAATTATGTAAGCAAAAAGCTATTTCCTCATTTATATAATAATTTCTATTTGTCATACATCCACTTGAAAACACACAGACCATGTTGTTCGACATTTTTGATTTTTATGTTGTTTTTTTACCAGTTATTCCATATTTATTTGAGAGTTCAAAAACATCGTTACAAAAATTTTAAGGCTCGTAGCTTTTTCTCGGCGGCAATTTTTAATTTGCTTTTCTACTGAAAACATGTTCTGGAAAAATGTCTGTAATTCAGGCAATTTTGTAGATATCGAATCAAAATAAAAACGTATTTTTATAAAGAATAATATTTTTTCTACATTTTTGTTTATCAATACATCACCTAAAAAGAAAGAAAAGTGGTTTAAAAAAAATCTCGAAAATCTACAACAAATTAGACTTTTAGCGCTTTGAAGGTGTGATAAGGAAAAGATAACCAACCACCTTTGGTTTTTTTTTGTTTTATAGTTAATGCTTATTTCTGTATTAAAAAATATAACAATTAACAATTTTTAATTCAGAAATAAACATTAATGCTCATCCTTACCAATGATTCCTAGAACAATGCTTTCCCCCAATCACGAATAAAGTTGTTCAGGCTAGTCCACTGTTGAGGTGTTTACATATATCAGTTGATGTGGTAATTGTTTTCTTTGCAGCAAAAACTTGTATACCTACTATAGAATTTTTTTAATTATAAAATAAAATTTAATTCGGTGTCGCAATTGTATATTGTAGGATGCTGATTTATCGTTTAAATAACGCGACGCCCAGAAATATTTGGTAGGATATAGCTCTGGAGCCAATTGAGTCTCAGTCACAAAATTTGCGGTATATTTCCTTATAATAAAGTGTTATAAAATGTACAAGTTTCGTAAGTTTTCACTAGTCCCTTTTATGATATTCAAATTCAAAACTCGCCAAAAATGAATTTTCGCTGTTTTTGAAAATTCACATTTGAAAAAGAACTATGGTTTTTTAAGATTGAAATTTCATCAGTAAGTAGTAGAGTAATAGGAATATGAAGAAATAATTAATGTTGAGACTCTTTTCACTATTACACTTTAGCTGCGCTAAACCTCTCATTTTATGCTAATTTTCATTTTATAGTTATACATTTTTTTAACAACTTTTCTAAATACTTAGGAGAAGTATTGTGAGGACAAAAAAAAAAAAAAAATATAGAGCGAATCATCATCATAATTAAAAATTTTTTTTTTTTGTTTTGATATCTGCAAAAATGTCAGAGTTAGAGTAGGTAGAATATACTGCCTCTCACGAGGAGCAATGTTTGTTGTGCTATGACTAATAGAACCAGTTGAGTCTCCGTGATCAAATTCATATCACAGGTGTCCATCATAAGAGGTATAAACTGTATCACTAGCGGATCCAGGATTTAATTTTGGGGGGTGCTTCAGCCCGAAAGCTTTTTTTTTCATATAAATAACGATAATTACTTTGGAAAAAAAGAAAGAAACTAACTATCTGTATGAAATGGTGTTTAAGTGATTCCATAAGTCCTTTTAAATGTAATTACATGAATAATAATACTTTAAAATATGATTTTTTTATATATTTTTCCATAAAACATGGTTATATTTTATATTCAGGCTTATATTCAGCCCGAAAGCCCCCTCCCTCCCCGTAGATCCTCCCGTGAACTGTATGAATTTCATAATTTTTCACTCAGTATTTTTTGTGATATTCAACATACAAAATCGCCAAAAAAGAGATTTGGCGCTTTTTGAAAATTCATATTTAAAAAAGGACAAGATTTTCAAGATTCAAATTTCATCAACATGTAGTCAATTGGTAGAACTGTAGTTAAGAAAAAAAAGATCAAAGGTGAGTCTCTTTTCATTATCACACTTTTACAGCAATTAAAGTCTCATTGTTTGTTAATTTTCATGATTTTTTTAAACCACTTTCCTTTCTTTTTAGGTGATATAGTGGTATAAAAAATACTCTTATTTATTCTAGTTTTTATTTTGGTACGATATCTACAAAATTGCCAGGTTTACAGACATTTTCTCGAAACATGTTTTCAGTCGAAAAGCAAATTAAAAATGGACGCCGAGAAAAAAACTATAAGCCTTAAATTTTTTGAAAACAATGGTTTTGAATTCTCAAATAAATATGGAATAATTGGTGTAACAATAATAAAAATGAAAAATGTCGAACACAAAAATAATTCAAATTGGGTGATTTCAAATGGATTGACCCATATATGAAATATCAGAAATTAAAATTTCGGTTTTACATTTTGTGTCTTAAAA